ATTAAACACACACACACACACAAGAAGTCTTTATACACAGAATTCTAAAAACCAGTATTTTCCAACTGAACTAATAAACCCAAAGAAATGACAGCAGAGAAGTTTTCACTCCAGCCAGTCACCTGCAATGCTGCTCTCCATCTTTCAGGACATCATAGTTCTCATGAAATGAGGTCTTCAGAGACAAAATCCTCATAAAGCCAACCCTACAAATGGCCAATGGAGTGTGGAATTACATAATTCTTACTCTCTGCCTCAGTTAACAAGAAGGGGAATGATGTGCAATATGTAGAGATGAAACCCCAGGCTCTTGGAGGCTAGGCGATAAAGCTCTGAAGTTGAGGCGAAGAATAAGGGATGGCCTGAATTGGGGATGGAAAATAAGGTAGAGCAAAACCTCATGCAATAATTAAGTAACAGAAAAGGCATGAGCAGACAAAAGCAGACCAGTGAGAGACAGATCTATAGAAATTACCAAATCAACCATGTGGCCTTTAGAATGAAGGGATCATTCATGTGTTGCAAAAGATTAAGTGAATCTGCAAGAGCCATAAAAACCTTACTTCACTGGCAAGAGAATTCAAAGCTGCACAGTAATTCAACCAGCAACACCAACAAATATCCGGTGACACTACCAGGAGTTCAAAGATGCTCTCTGTCTGGAGTCCAGTGCATTTGGGAAAGACGGCTTAGGATTCTTTAGGAACAAGATACATAATAGCAGCCCATAAAAATAAAAAGGCAAGTGGATGGTAAGGAACTTAAAGGGGGGAAAACACCCCCAAACTAAGCCATGGGAGCATAAATTATCCAGTGTAGTTAGAAATGATTTCAGGCCACTTCATTGAACTCTTCGATATGTCTATGCTTCAAAACTGTCAAGAGGAGTTTTGCATGGAGCATTCTTCATCCTAGAAGAATAATCTGTTACAGGATGCTTCTCACCACCCTCCCCATTTAAAATTCAATCTGTTTTCTCCTACTCAAGTTAGAATTTCATTGAGAAAGTCTGCTCCACCCATCACTATGCCACAGAAACAAAGGCACTGTTCACCTCAGAACTCCACATCTTATCACAGGCCTCAGCTGGGCTCCCACAACTTCCAGGCAGAGGCTAGTCATGCACCAGGTTTTGCCTCAACTCCTAGGAGATCTGTCAGAAGTGGGAGAAAGCAAGTAAAACACCATATACACACATACGCACACAAACAGAGAAGTAGTGTAAAAATCCACTTGTGAGACTAAAGGACTCTGAGTCACCTTGTTTTGAGGATTCTGGAAGTATCTCTTGAAAAAATCTCACTAAAATGTCAAGGCAAGTGACTAATTATCTTGGTCCACAATGGATATAAATGGTGAGGCTGGAGTTCAGACTTAGGAAAGAGAGAAGATGGGTACACTTGTAATGTAAAGAACAGGCAAGCAGTAACTCAGCAAAGAAAAACAAGATATCATAATGGTTACAATTAGAAGAGGCACATCATGACCCATCTGGAGAGAAGCAATTAGATGATGTGATTAAGTTTAGTCAAGATGATGCTAAATGTTCAAGAAGGTTTATTTGAAAAGGATTTAGTTAGAAGATTAAGGAATCTCTACAACAATTTCTGCTCATGGTCAATAGCATTGCGAAGTGTGGTGGACATTAGGTTTTCACCCCAAGTCTCTCTCAGAGCTGTCCATTCAGTAGAAAACTTAGGATACAAACTCATCCTTCAATGATCTTCTTCTTGGAGCAGATGGACATAGTGGGGGTCGGGGGCGCAGAGAATAGGGATTCCATTTGCAGGTTTCTCCCCAACCCTCTCAGTTTGGTGTCCCTCTTGGTTCAGTCGTCAGCAAGCAGAAACATGTCACATTCAGGAAATACGCACTGAGGTTAAAGAGCTCGCTGCCATCTGTCCTTGATTAGGAACAATTGCTGGGGTGGAGCAACTCCGAAAGCATTTCCCCAGGCTGGGCAGTGAACTCACTCATCTGATATGGTTGAGAGCTGCTCTCCTCTCCGGGTCAATGTCCTCACTCAAGGTTCTTTTGTGCTGACACTCTTAGAGGAAGCATTCTACCATCCCAGAGGTAGTAAAAAACCTGGAGAGAAAACTTGGACTCCTGCTAAAGGGGAATAAAGGCATTTTTCCAAAGACATATTTAGACTCATGGACAAAAGGCCCCCCAATCTTGCACACTGCCAGGCATTCAGTGCTAGTCTGATGACACGTGTGACAACTCAGACAGGATGCAGTTTGGGGCCTCAGTCACAAAAGCCCACAAACAGCCAAATGGTTGCTATTCTTTCCTTCTCAAATGCCCTTTCTGCAGACTCACCCCCTTACAACCCAGTATTGTCCCTCCTTCTGGCCTGGCCAAGGGCTACCTCCTGCAGGCATGTGGGTGTTATTTCTCTCTCCTCTTCATACCTGAGATCTATGCTTCTCCCGCAACCTACACTTCCATTAAACCCAGAGGTGCTGCAGAGCTCAGATCTGAAGCCAAACTGCCTGGGTTCACAATCTTACCTGTGTGTTACAGCTTTATTATTTGGAAAATAATGTAATAATACATCTACTTCACTGGGCTGTTACAAGGATAAAGTTAAGTAACCTTCTAAAAGTGCCTAGACTATGGTAAGAGCTGTATAGGTATTTAATGCTATAATTATTACTACTAGTGGTATAAATGAATAGTTACCAAGCACCTCTAACAAATAGTAGCTCCTTGAGGTCAGGATCTGTGCTTAGGGTACAGCAATGTGAATAAATAATGAATATAACAGTCATTAGTTGTTTTTAGATGTTTGTATTTTAAACATTAAAGTCTCGGGCAGCAGGAAGGGGAGGTAGGCAAGACCAGGCAACGGGGCTGAGAGAATTGGAATTGATCATTGTGTAGGCCAGCCTCTGCTAAAGCAGCCTGGGGGGTGAGGAACAGACTTAAATGGATTGGCCAGATGCAGACAAATGTCACTATCAAGGTGTCATCATTATTAGAAAGAGAGTATCAGTGAGAAGCCCCTATAGAAAAACAGACTCAATATAAGACAGAACTAAGCTATTTTGGACCTATCTATGATCAACACAATAGTATGAGAATGGTTTGTGGGGCCCAGGGGACCAATAATATCCAGAGCTATGTGACTAAGTAGATGGAGTTTCTGAGAAAGATATGGATTAAAATCCTCTCTCCATGTGTGGCTAGACATACCTTGAGCCAGGTTGTAAGCTTATCTGTAAAATGGAAATAATTATATCTAACATACAGGATTGGTGGAAGGATTAGCAACAAATAACCCGTCAAATATTGGATCCATAGTAGAAGCTTAGCAAGTGTCATTTATCCTTGTTCTTGTTAGACATGGCAGGCTAGTAAGTGGTCTGTGAGCATAAGCATAAGATTCAACTCCAAGTCCTAGGGACGGTGGGCCTGGCACAACCTGGGATGATGCTAGACTGGCCACAGGTGGACTCGGGAACTAATGCAGATAAGGGTGGAGAAGGCCCAGGCAGGGGCTCCGCTCAGCCCTTCCATCTTAACATTTTTGCATGCAAATTGACCACACAAATATTCTTTGACCCATTCCCTGAGAATTGGTCCACCTTCATTACTGGAATCACCCAGCCAGGAAACATAATCCTATGGTACTTCCTTTCTTTTGAAGGTAAATGAAGCTGGAAGATGGGGTAAGGACAGCACAAAGGACAGCCAGGAGAAAGCAGAGATATTTGAGTGAATGAGAGAACACTTGTATTAAAGTGATATAATTCCACAACAGCTTGCTGAAAAATGAGAAAATCATTCAATACACATTGCCAAACAGCTGCTTTGATTGATTGTTGTAAAGCCCAAACTAACCAAGTTGTCCAGTTGTTAGAATTGTGTAGCTGAAGCCACAGACTATGTTGCTCTGAGAAATAATGGATGGCTTGAAGCAAGCACTTCTAACAGGCCGAAGAATGGCCTTAAGAATTCTAAAGAGAAAGATGGAGAAAATAAAAATAAGCAGATTTTTTTCCAAAGCTATTTCTGCCCATATATTACTGGAGGAACCCCCAAGTTCTTTAAGATTTCTTTAAGATATAAAGATTATATTCACAATCACACAAAGAGGGACCCCAAAGAGCACATAAGAATTAAAAGTATTTTTCCAGCAATCGGACTGCACAACTTCGGGATTATTTAGACATTCTCAGAGCCAATAATTTAAAGATATTATGCTTTTACTTCCAGTTTTAAGTCTTCTGGACGACTTTTCTTCCTCTGCCTTTTTGTCTATAAAGACATGGGGCCATGATAGAAATTACTTGGAGATAAAAGAACAGTTCATTGCTGCCTCTTGTTTTTTCCTTCTAAGTTACTTGAATTTACTTGTATGTCTGCCTATACATTAAATGCATCCTCATTTTGAGTGGGCCAAGAACTGAAACTGGAAAGGGAGGCACATGAGGGGGGACAATCCTTTAGGGGCAGGATGGTCCCAGAGAGCCATGGAGCCAGTTAGAGTTGTGTCCTCATTCATCCGCCAGGGCCTGAGGCCTTTGCATGCCTGAACTTCATGTGATTGCATATCCCAGGGACAATCAAAAAATGTATAAATTATACTTTTATCAAAGCAACTCATGTTCACATTTTAAAGACCAAAAACTACTAAAAAGTCCATAATGAAAAACTGCATTCCCCTGGCCCACCCCACAGTCTGGCCTCAGGCTACAACTGGCAACACTTTCATTGTTTCTTCTATCACCACATATTTAATGATGTACTTATAGTGCTCTTTTTCTTGATTTATGTTTTGGAGATATTATTTATTAATTTCCTGGCATTTTAGTTGATGACTCAGCTCTCTTTGATCACCCCAATTCTTCTCCCGTCCTCCCAGTATAGATACTGTTTCAGTTTTCTACTGGGGAGAACAAATCACCCCAAAACTAGTGACTCCAGGAAATAATAATTTATTATTTTCCAAGGTCTCTGCATTTGCTGTGTGGTTCTTTGGCTGGTCTTACCTGATTTCACTTGTGGTCTGCATGCAGCTGGGGGATTGGCAGGAGGCTGGACTTTCGATCAGAACTCCTTAGTTCCCCTCCACGGGTCTCACTTGGGCTTCCTAGGGGGATGGCAGTGTCACGGCAGCGGCAGCATTCTAGGAGGAAGTGTTCCCAACAGCTTCAAAATGGAAGTGACAAGATCTCTTAAAGCCCAGCTTCAAAAGTCTCCAGCATCGCTTCTGCCACATTGTATCAGTCAATGCAAGTACCAAGAAAAGCCTGCCCATAGTCTAGAGGAAAGGAAATCAACCCCACCTCTTGATAAGGAGAGTGGCAAAGTCTCATTGCAAAAGGCAGGCAGGATGGCAGATATTTGGAAATAATTTACAACAGCTATATCTAAATCTATTGAATCAGTGTAAGTTATTGTTTAAATATTATACATGGTAGAGTCAATTTCAACAGTTATAGTTCCATTTTTGTACAATGTATTTTATTTTTCCCAGAGCTAATGATTATCTTGCTTTTTATTTGCTTTTGGCATGAGTAGCCATCAATATACTTACCCTTAGCTTTTCCATCAGCTCAATCATATGTTTACTTTTCAATGTGCGGGACTGCCAGGAGAACTTCTTCCCCAGAAGTAGCTGTCCTTCTTCCTGCTACAATCTGGACTGGCTTCTCTAGATCTGCTGCATAGTTCTCATCTTGTGACTTCTCTTTGCTGCTTTTCTGTGTTGGGTTTCCCTTTCCTGAACACTTCTTCCTTTTTTTAAAACTCCTTTATTTTGCACATTTCTAATAGCTTGCTAATAAAATCGGGGCGGGGGTGGGGGTAAACATTCTGAGGATTTCTTTTCAAAGTCCTTCTTTTTTTAATCTTTAAAAAAAAATCCCTCTGGGGACATCAGATACACAAAACTGAAATTAGGACTTTACAACAGCAAGTTTTCATAATGGTGAAAAAGAGTGGAGACAATTTTGTAAGATCAATATAACTGCACAGGGAGCTCTGATGAGTGCAGAGGGGAAACAATGAAGGTGACCAACTGGTCAGAAAATAACAAGTAGCTTAACACAATTCTTGCAATAAAGTGAAGGACAACCAAAAGGGCTTACTTAGTTTTGTAAGATGGGAGAAGGAAGTATTGGAAATAATGGGATAATTTTTATATGAAAAATACAGTGGTATAATTATATGAAAATATATAATGGTATAATTTTTCATGAAAACTGAATTTCATAACACTTATTTTATTTATATGTTTAAAAGGAGAATACTTCCAACTCATAAAGGAGCAGATAAAATATGGATTTGTGGATATCCTACTACTATTCTCTGATAGCATGTTCTCTCCTTCTGGATACACTAGAAGGTTATAACTCCCCACCCCTGACATTTGGCTTAGCCATGTGATTTGCTTTGGCCAAGAAATGACACCAGAAGTGATATGTAGCATTTTGAGTTTGAAACAATTAATTGTCTGTGGATGACTTTCCAGCATGATTTTTCAGTCATCCAATCATTTTGATACATAAGTACAACATCGACATTATTGATGTTATTTGTTACTGCAGCAAAACCTAGCCTAATCCAACAAGAAAAGCCCAAAAAAAGTGAAGTGATCCTAAGAATGCATCAGGATGTTTTTAATGTGTTTCCTGGGTTAGAGAAGTTACATCCTAGGTAATGTATCAGTTACATTGTATCATTAAATCAGTCACATTGTACCAAAGTTTCATTAAAACCACAATCTTTTGTATGAGACACAGATTTAGCTTTGAATACTGAATTTACTACTTATCAAATGGGTGAACCTGGGCAAATATTTATCTCTTTTTGTCTTGGCTTCCTGATTTATAAATTTCTGATAGTCATACCTATTTCATTGGTTTTGGAGGAATTAAATAAGGTAATATAGGTCAAGTGTCTTTTCAGTGTTTACAACTTTTCTATCAGTGGTGGTTGTTAAGAGAACATCCGAACTGTATCATTAAAATTCTGCCAGAAATCTTGAAAGAAATAATACAGAAAACACTATCTTGCCTCACCAAAGAAGTGTGCTGCAGAAATTTATAATATGCTTAATGTCTATACTGAATAGTTTTCTGGGAGAAATAAAATTGAGTACTTGTGAACATTAAGAAGAAAAATGAGAAAAATAGTAGGTTCATGAAACATGAGATACAACTTAAGTTTTTCTTTTTATAAACTAAGATGATCAGTATGGTAGATTTGGGGGAAACTATAGATACAGTATACCTGACTATACCCAAATATTTCACAATGTCTCCCTCTAATAATTGTAAATAAACATATAGAAATCTTAACAATATAGTCCAGAGGATTTGTAACTGAAAAGACCAATACAACTCTATGTCCTGGTCCTATATTGTTCATTCATTCATTCATTCAAAAGTAATTCATTGAATGCCTACCATGTAACAGGTATGTTAGGTCCAGCAGGTATAGCAAGGAACAAAAAAACTTTTGTTAACTTTTTAAAATTGAGGATTTAGATGAAGGCACAGAGTGTTAAACCAAATCTTTTTTGACACAAAATTGGGACAGAGAGTAATCCAAAGTGATCCAAATTCAAAATGATGTTAACGGAATATAGCAATAGATCAACTCTAGCATTTAGTTGTGTTATTCTAGAGAATTTCTTTAATCTCTCTAAGCCTCAGCTTCTTTGTCGGTAAAATGGAGACAATCTGCTGATTGACTTGTTTTGAGCTTTAAAGATAATGTATGTAAAGAATATAGTACAGTATCTGGAATATGCTGGCCCTTAAAACATAACACCTTTTAGCTGAAAAGCTTCTGTACAGCGAAAGACACCATCAATAGAACAAAAAGGAACCCTACAGTATGGGAGAATATATTTGAAAATGACAGATCTGATAAAGGCTTGACGTCCAGAATATATAAAGAGCTCACACGCCTCAACAAACAAAAAACAAATAACCCAATTAAAAAATGGGCAGAGGAACTGAACAGACAGTTCTCCAAAAAAGAAATACAGATGGCCAAGAGACACATGAAAAGATGCTCCACATCGCTAATTATCAGAGAAATGCAAATTAAAACTACAATGAGGTATCACCTCACACCAGTAAGGATAGCTGCCATCCAAAAGACAAACAACAACAAATGTTGGCGAGGCTGTGGAGAAAGGGGAACCCTCCTACACTGCTGGTGGGAATGTAAATTAGTTCAACCATTGTGGAAAGCAGTATGGAGGTGCATCAAAATGCTCAAAACAGACCTACCATTTGACCCAGGAATTCCACTCCTAGGAATTTACCCTAAGAACGCAGCAATCAAGTTTGAGAAAGACAGATGCACTCCTATGTTTATCGCAGCACTATTTACAATAGCCAAGAATTGGAAGCAACCTAAATGTCCATCGGTAGATGAATGGATAAAGAAGATGTGGTACATATACACAATGGAATACTACTCAGCCATAAGAAGTGGAAAAATCCAACCATTTGCAGCAACATGGATGGAGCTGGAGAGTATTATGCTCAGTGAAATAAGCCAAGCGGAGAAAGAGAAATACCAAATGATTTCACTCATCTGAGGAGTATAGGAACAAAGGAAAAACTGAAGGAACAAAACAGCAGCAGAATTACAGAACCCAAAAATGGACTAACAGGTACCAAAGGGAAAGGAACTGGGGAGGATGGGTGGGCAGGGAGGGATAAGGGGGGGGAAGAAGAAGGGGTGTATTAAAATTAGCATGCATGGTGGGGGAGGGAGAAAAGGGAGGGAGGGCTATACAACACAGAGGGGACAAGTAGTGATTCTACAACATTTTGCTATGCTGATGGACAGTAACTGTAATGTGGTTTTTAGGGGGGACCTGGTATAGGGGAGAGCATAGTAAACATAGTATTCTTCATGTAAGTGTAGATTAAAAATTTAAAAAAAAAAAAAGAAAGAAAGAAAGAAAAGGGGGATTACTCCTTAACAGGATAAAACTATTGGTAAATCAAAGATCAACGCATGCTTTAAATATCCTTAATGTTGATCACTTAAAGGGTGTCAGATGATCAGCTATGGAGGTACTCTTTTCTGATAATATTCCTTTCTCTTAATTAAAAAAAAAAAAAAAAGAAGTTACTGTGTGCTGACCTCCAATGAGTTCTGCACAGTGGTATAGAGGGCATGTCAAAGTGTGGGCAAAGGGTCTGTTTGTTTCTATGCAGAAGATCAAGGCCTAGCTTGGATACCCAGAAAATGAACTAAGATACGATATGAGGAGGAGCTTCCGGCATCAGCACTCTCTGGAGGACTTGTGCCGGGGGATGATCATCAAAAAGCCTCCACAGGGATCCGGACGATGCTGCGGTTGTGGCTGCATCCAGCCCACCGTCTCCTGGACTTGCCATAAGAAGGAGGAGGGAGATGTCTAGGCTGGCATGTGCATACAGTGAGACAACGAATTTGACCGGATCTGTACTGTTGGAACTCAACCAGGAGTTGGGAGGGGTGCAAGTTGTAGCACCCCAAAATCTCATGACTATAGACTATCTATGGTTAAAAGAACATATGGGATGTGAACAGATCCCAGAAATGGGCTGCTTTAATTTGTCTGATGGTTCAAGTACAGTTGGACAATATCCATCATATCATAGATAAATTTTCACAAATGCCTAGGGTGCCTAAATGGTTTTCTTGGCTTCACTGGAGATGGCTGGTAATTATAGATTTGCTTTGTTTATGTCACCGTATTCCTATTATGTTAATATGTGTGTGCAAATTAGTTAGTAGTTTAAAACCTATACATACTTAAGGTACTATACAAGAAGATATGTCAAAGAAATAATCAATCCTCCCAAGTTTCCTTCATATGCTACATCTATAGCTTTTCTTCTTCCTTCCTAATTACAAACCTTAAATAGAATTCGTGCCTCATATCGAATTTACCGAGTATCATAATTCCTCCAGGTGGTAAAGATACCTCGAGACAAGTGCTGGGCATAGAAGCCACAGGGCATAAATCTGCAAAGAAGTAAAAAGCTAACCTTTGCAAACAATATGGCTTCTCTCTCACTTACCAACTTTACATTTCCCTGTATGGCCCCGGAAGATGACTGGTTAGCCAGAGACGGGTAAGATTCCTCAAGGGAGGAACAACCTAAGACAGGCACAGTCGCAGGGGGGCCATCAGGTGAGAATTTGGGGATCAACAGAGGTGAGGCTCAGAACCTCACCCCCCCTGCTTTGAGAGAAATCTTCTGCATCCGTGGATGTCTTGCTGCCCTTGTCTAGCCTGGATTAATACTTAGTCCATAGGCACACACCTGATCATCTGATCATCTACATTTGCCTTCTTACAGCACTAAACTATGTTTTCTACCTTTATCTTGCATCTACCTACCACTTCAGCATTTTATTAAAAATAAAAATAATAATAATAATAGGAGAAATGTGGGATCAACATATAAATCAAGTACAAAAATCAAACGAATATTCATATTTGACCTGATTGTTTATAGGTCATATTGCATGATCAAAACCGAAAGTTTCTGTGATGAATGCCCTTGTACTGTTCACCATGTAAGAATTTATTCACTATGTAAGAATTCGTTCACCATGTAAGAACTTGTTCGTTATGCTTCAGAAGATTGGAGACTGACGAGAATTAGGCTTGAGATGGATTAATGATTGTACATTGAGCATTGACCCCCCTATACTGAATTTTATTGTTGTTAACAACCATTTGATCAATAAATATGAGAGATGCCCTCTCAAAAAAAAAAACAAACATAACAGCTTTTAGTACTATGGGAATTATCATTCCACAAAATCACTTGTTCATGCATGCAAGGATTCTCAGAATGTATCAGAAGGTCAAAAGAGGTAAAATGAATGGTTCAAGGTCAAACAATAAGAAATTGACAGAACCAGAATTTAAACACAATTTTCCCTATTTCTGGTTAAAAAGTTAATATTCTACCTGGTAGTGACTAATATTTGATAGTCAAACCCCTTTTATATAGAATGTAGGTATAAAATAATTTTAAGGTACAATAACCTGTGAGTAAGATACTTTTGGAGATGTTTTGGAGCTTAAAGGGGAATTGTTTTATATCCACATAGGAAGCTCTGTTTCTGTCATTTAGGGTAGTTACAATTATTGTAAAACAATACTGTTTTCTAAATTTGGTGATATTCTTTTTATTGAAAAATTGTTCTACACTATCAAGAAAGTCCTTTTCTATAAAGTTAGAGAAGGAAGAGAAGTTGGTACAACCATCAAAACGGTGAATATGCTGGATGAAGTGCAATAAATAAGACTGAGCATCTGCTCTGTGGTGTGTAATAGATACAGTATCTCCCATGATCCTTGTGGCAGCCCAGGGATGAAAATATTTAGTGTCCTCATTTCTGTACTGAGGAAATAAGTTCAGAGGGGTTAAGTGACTTTTCAAGTCACACAACTAACACATACAAGAAACAAGACTAAAATCCAGGTCTTTGTGATTCCATTTCTCATATATTTTCTCCTGTGGCATGTTTTTCTGTCTTTGATGAGTGGCAGAGCCCCAGACATTACCTCAAAACTGTCTGCTCCCCAGAAAACAGCCCCTATTATGGGACTTTTTCTTTGTTATATCAACAATAGTGCAAAGTTTAGGAAATCGATTTTTAAGCTATTAAAATCTTACCATCTTAGCAATACTATTTAATTGTGTTTACATGTATTTATAATTTTAAATGATTGTAATCATACTCTACATATAATTTTGTATCACTTATTTATCCATTCTTTAAATGAATATTTTTCAAGTGTTTGCTATGTCCCAGGCATGATTCTAGGAGCGAGAACTGCAGCAGAGAACAATGAAGTCCCTGATCTCATTGAGATTACATGTGTTGGAGGAGACAGACAGCAATATAAATAAGTAAAATATATTATATGTTCAAGATGAGAAGTGCTAAAAAGTAAAAAAAAACAGTCAAAGGGGGTGCAAGTTGAAGTGGAGGTTAGAGGTGCAGTTGAAATTTTAGATAGGTTCCAGAAAACACTTTGCTGAAAAGTTAAGACCTGAATGAAGTGAGCAAGCCCTGTGGCTATCTGTGGTGTGGCAGCCAGAATTCTAAAATGACTCCATGACCCCATTTGCCCCATGGTTTGATTTCCATGTTTATGTTAAGTTATGTGGGGAAGGGATTTTGTAGAAATTAACTTTAAGGTAGGGAGCTTGTGCACATGGTCCTAACCTAGTGACAGGAGCTCCACAAAAGCAGAAGATTTTCTCCAGTTGATAACAAAAAAGGAAACTCAGATTTAAAGTGTGACAGGAACACAACACAAGGGAGCTTCTCCAATGCTGGCATGAGGGAGCTGCATGGAAATACCTCGGAGAAGCCTTGAGGAGGTGAGTGAACTATGGCCTATAGCAAGAAGATGGGACTCTCCGTCCTACTACTGCAAAGAATGGAATTCTGCCGACAACTTGAATGAACCTGGAGCAGATTCTTCCCAGAGTCCCCAGATAATAGTCCAGCTGGCCTTCACCTTGATTTCAGTGTGTGTGGAAGTGACCGAGCCAAGTGTAGAAAAGTGAGGACACAGAGGTGAGGGCATGGTTTCAGGCTTGAATTCCTAATGAGAATGGTATTTTCATTAGCTACACAATATTCTCATGTGCATCATAATTTACTTAGGTCTTCTCCTCTAATTCTGTTACTTCAAGTCTTCTGTTATTAGATACTCCTGCAATAAATCCCTTCATACATATAACATTTTTCCTCGGTTTGCTAATTTGTCTTTCCAAAGGTTGCTATTTAATAATAATATATGGGCCCTGATTTTTCTGGGCCCTTGAAAGCATTGAATATTATCATTCGTTTTACTTTTCCTATTTTAACAAGTAAAAGAGTAGCAACAATTAAAATCCTTCTATGAATACTTATAAGAAGGAAGATTTTTCCCAATTTGTTCCCTCTTGGCATTTCCATTCACTGATTTTTGGAAGGAGCAATATTGCTTACTGAGTTACTGACAGATGAGGCCATCAACTGAAAGAGGTTTCAGACTTGATTTGGATCATAATGTGTTCTTCTTTAGTGCCTTGCTGTCTCCAGTTCTTCACCTAGGAAATAAAGACAGAGTCTGGAATCATATCAAAACAAAATTTATAAAGCATTTACTGAAGTACTTTTTGCATATCTTCCTATTAAACAACTACATCTAGATATTTTCTTTTAAAACAAAAAAGTGTTGTATGGTGCAAAAAACTATTAGATTAAGTAGTCCTCTATCATCTCACTAGCATGCTCTAACTTTGAGAAGTCACTTCCCCTCTTTGTGGTATAGTTCCTGCAACAATATAATGTGGAACTTGTAATAATGTGTAGTCAATCCTTACACTCTATGAGTACCCGTGATCTTACATGATAACTGCCTACCATGTCAGACATGGAATCTGGTAAATCCTATCTCCTCTGCATAAATATAATACATCTACATTTGACACCAAAATTAGTTGTTCCTGACCAACTGCTTCAGAAACTCCCTTGTATGGTTTCCTATTCCATCTTATTTTCTGTCATCTCTTTAAATAATTACATCTTAGCTTATATTTTTAAGACAGAAAATTAAACCCACATGTCTTCTTGTGTTCTACCAAAAATACCATTAATTATAGACTTATAGACATTGAAAATGTGTATTTATATTACTAAAAAGCATTGCCCCAATAAATAGCCCTCTAAGAAATTTAGCCAAGGTCCAAAGGGTGAAAACACAAGTAAATGAGTGAGAAGGGTGATAATATCACAGACCCAGAAGACATTTAAAACCTCACACATGATAAATGCTACTTTATTCCATATACATTTGATAAAATCAATGGATGACTTTCAAGGAACAAGTTCCCAAATTGGTTCTGAAAAAACTAGAATTGAGTAGACCAGTAACCATAGATAAAATTGAACAGGTATCAATGGGAAACCACTAAAGAAGAAATCTCATTAAATTTGCCTGTGAATTCTTTCAAACTTTCAAAGGTAAGAAAAATTACTCTGCTTTTAAAAGTGTTTCTTAACATAAAGAGCTTTGAAAAACATTCCATTCACTTTGAAGTTAGCATAATCCTAATGTCAAACCTCCAAAAGGCTACAGTGAAAGAAAACTATCGATCAATCTTTTTATTCATATAGATACAAGAATCCTAAACAAAACATTATTAAATTCTGTCAAGTAGGATAAAAACATAACACTCTGTAATTAACAAGTGGGGTATATTCTAGGAATTCAAGAATGGTTTAACATGTTAATTGCATTAATAATTACCTGGGCTTTGATGAAATTCAACATTATTTGTGATTACAAACCTTTATAAATAGCATAGAGAAGGAAAATTGTGTAACATGATTGAGTTTTTAAAAATCAGAATCTAACAGCAAACATCATACTTAATGGTAAAATACTAGGCATATTTATTTAAATGTTATAGATAAGAAAGATGAAGCTAATCCTTATTGTTTTTCAATATTGGATTGGAGATCTTCATCAATAGATTAATAAAAATAAATAATAAAAATATATATTGGAAAGGAAAAAATGAAACATATTTAAGCAAATATTGTTACTATATGTAAAACTATTGAAATGATAGGACACAGACAAACATCTCAATGGGATAAAAAGGGATTTTAAATTTCTAGTGAGGCATTACAGCTTAGACATTTACATTTATCTTGGTTCCCTCCAGGAATTCCAGAATAATGACAGTAAAGGAATGACAAAATATGGACCTGAAGACAAAAAAGAGTGTCAGAAGAGACAACACAAATGGAAGATGTCAATATTTAAAAAAAAAAAAAAACCTTTGGGTAGAGAACAGAAGTTGAATGGTACCTTGGAAATGGCATACTGTTCTGTAGCATTACAACTCCCTACCCCTACACATGCTTTTAAATTAGCTTTCTAGTGTCTGATTCCAAAACATAATTAGACAAGGATCACAAGATATATGTAGAAAGCCTCCAATATGAAAGACAGAAACCAAAGTTAACAGAGAAGAAAAGCTATAATACAAGAAGAAGGTTTAAAAATATAATTTTTTATAGCAATAAGACATGGTATCTATGAAGAAAAAGAATGGGACATTATAAAAAGAGACCATACAAGGAATAAGAAAGAACTGCTGGAAGATGATATGATAGCTACAATAAAGCATCTAGTAAACATTGGAAGGTGTCCAAGTGTAAAAAGTCTAGAATATCTTCTAGAAAACAGAAAAAGCCAATGATAGAAAATGGGAACTTATATATGAGAAATTAGAGGATTAATTCAAGAGGTCTAACCAACAGGAGTTCCAGAAACAAAGAGTGAAAAAGTATATTTGTCTGAAAGAAACAGCCAGAGAACAGAGAAGAACTACTGAAGAAATAATACAACTTTACTAAAACTAATAGACACAAATTTACTTAAAGGCTGTTCCTATCAATCAACCCACATAATGGGAAAGAGCTTACAAGTACATCATGAAATTTCAGAGCTTACTTAAGAATAAAGAAAAGATTCTGAACGCTTCCAGAAAGCAAGACAAAAACACAAAAGATCAAGGATCAAAACAGCTTTGGACTTTGCAACAACACCAGGGCTGCTACAAACAATGGAGAAAAATGCCCTTAATATTCTGAGGGAAAAATGGTTTTCAACCTAGACTATGTATACAAATTATCAATCAGATGTGAGGGTAAAAAAATAAAATATACTTTTAGACATATAAGTTCTCAAAATAAAGTGGTTCTATGTACCCTTTCTCAGTATTATGCTAAAGTTATGTCCTATAACAAAATTAGAGAAAAGGATGAAATGAGTATTTTCCCAAATCGGGGCTGAAACACAGGGGAGCTGCAAAGGGAATTCCAAAATAGCAGGGAGAGGAAGTCCTGTGATACTTGTGCAGCAGGTGTAAATATCAACTAGGTGAGATTGGAGCAAGATGGTGGAGATATTATTTAAAAAGAAAATTACAGATCACCTAAAGTATTTAATCTATTAAGAGTTTTTCACTGTGGTAGTGATTTGTGTAAGCAAACTTCAAAATGAGGTAATTATTAACTCCAGGGAAAACAAAAATCTGAACCAGAAAGAAGATCTAAACTATGTACATTACTTACTAGGCTGTGAATAATATGTATTTAATAATGATAGAGAGAATATAATTTTAGCCCCAAATTATGATATATCTACATAGAAAGGATGCTCAAAGGAGAATTAGAATGCATCTATAGGGACAGGGTGGCGAGGGGGAAATGTGGAAGGAGAGCTAAGTCTTCCTCTCACCTAGTAGGAAATTGAGAATTAATATGTGAAATTAAAAAATCAAGAAGCATATATAAGTTAGAAACAGAAAATTAAATAAATTAAATATCAGAAGGAGCCATTAAAAAATCTGAGCATGATTAACTTTGGGCAGTAAAATTGGAAAGGGAAGAGACACAGGGAAGAGAAATGCTGTTTTTTGCTAAAAATCCTTGTTGTCCTAGAGGAACTTTAAAATAATGCATATGTATTATTTTGCTACAAAGTAAAATAGTCAAAAGATATGAACTGGAAAATCGAAATAAATTTGGAATATTAATCAGCATACAAAAAGGTGCAAAACTTCAATAAATAATCAAGTATTCAAATTTAAGCAAGAAAATGTTTTGCACTTATTGGCAATTTACAAAATTTATACAGAATTAGTAAAATGCAGAGAAATGAGCACTCATAAAATGCTGGTAGAAGTATACAAATTAACCCATTTCTGAAGGGAAAAATGGAAATTCATATCAAAATTTGAAACATGATTCTTTGACCTAGCAAATATGCTTCATGAGAAAACTTCAAAAATACGTACAGAAAGACATTTATTAAAGCATTGCTTATAATAGCAAAATATGGGAACAAACTAAACAGGCACTCTATAGATCATCTTTAAAACTAAGGAGAACATTTATAAAATAGGAACTATGCACAATTAAAATGATATGTAGACTCACACTTATTGTCATGGAAAGATGTTGGCAATATACCAAACTGTATGAAAAATGCAGGTAACAATCAGGCAATACCTCAATATTAAAATTCATTATAATTCATTTTAGTTTCTAGAAGTCACATTCTTCCTCCATTATTTGTTCTTTTAAAAGATTTTTTTAAACTATTCTGTTTATTTCAGTACAGTAACTTCAGAATTTTCTCAATGTCTCAAGCTATAATATGAGATGCCATTCACCCCAAAACTAGCTGTCTATCCATCTATCAATCCATCTATCCACCCATGCTAACACAGATACATCCATCTTTCTACCTGTGAACCTATCTACTTACTAAAGAGTGTGGGATTATGTCTGAGTAGCGAGATGAAAAAGAGAGAGATACTTGCTGTTTCCTAACTTCTACATTGTCTTAATTTTTCTTTTCACAATGGAAAAAATGACCTATTTTTGGAATCCTCTCCAAAAACAAAATTATTTCCGTTTAACAAAATAAAGTGAAACACAATGGGTATTTTAAAAAGTGGTTTATGCAAGAACAGTGACTCATCTTAGATCAGTCCGATTACACTGGCCATTTTTCAATGAGCAGAGGGAGAGGCTGAAGATAGCAGAAGAGATGCATATAGCTAAGCAATTGAATCCCCCACGACGAATAAGAATGTGAGCAAGGAGCGAGCGGGAGTCCAATGGCTGGTCTTCAACAGGAGTGCATAGCTTCTGTGACAGAAAAGGGTGAGAGGTAGACACACAGAAGTTGAGAGTGAGAAGTTAGGATGGAAGAGGAAGATGAAATAAATGCTGAGAAGTGAGCCACATGAGCAACTTTGAAAATCTTTTTTGTTACACTGAGAGGAGGGACACATTAAAAAATTTTTTTCTTCTTTAATATAGAAGACATTCATGTTCCATGTAGATGATTTGGGAAATAGAGGAAAGTATTAAGAAGAAAATCAAAATTACCTGTATGTCTGACTTTCTCTCCATATATTCTGAGCATTTCTCTGTCTTTAATTTTCATTTAAAACATAATTTAATATTCATAAATGATTCCATTATATTTGTTCTAACCATCCCTTTATTCTTAGATAATTAT